TGTTCCGCCTGCAAAAAGACCGTGGTCACAGGCGCCCAATAGCAGCAGTGAGTCTCCCAGCTACCGCTCAAAAGTGGACAAACCTGAAAAACCGAGCCCTAAAAAACGCCCGACCCCACCAGCTTCTCAGTCCCAATCGCAGCCGCCAGTACCCAAACACCTTTTGACGAAAGTGGTGGGCCGCCCGATGCCGGACAAAACTCTTCATGAAATGGATGACATAACTCCGGTATGGCTCTTCTTCCGTGCAATTTTCTTTAACGGCAAGGCCCCATCCCAATCAGTATTTGAAAAATACTGGCATGCCCAACCAGCCCTCAATCGCCACCACCTTCTCTGGTATCTTCCATCTAAATCGGTATCTCAACCAAATCGCCGCGGAAGCTCCACCAGTTTCATCCGCCTTTGTGTTCCTAGTGACTCTGTCGCCCAGGTGAAACGACATGCAGCACTTCCGTGGAAATGGCAGCTTAATGAAAACATCGACCCCCGCTCCCAACAATATCCCAACGCTACGAAAGCAGATTTAATTCACTATCTCCGCACCAAGCGGGAGGCCCCCTGCACACATGAACGAGCGCCAATTATTTTTGCCCGCAGCATGGATGCACTACTGAGCCCACTTGCCAACTCCACTAACGCAGATATCCTTCAATCTACCGCGGTCCGTCTCCAGAAGGCTTACTAAGCAAAGCATGATGTAAACCTCTTCTCACTTAGCCCGCGAATCCCGGTAAACGCTAAAGAATCAGCGCGTGCGGAACCCGGACGATTTCATATACCAACGGTCTGCCCGACACAATCATCCGACACGATGGATAGCAATACGTAGCCTCAGCTTTCCACGATGGACTCTTCGACGACAGGCAATGATATAGAAATAGCTGAGATCGTCAAAGAGGAGAGCCCAGTATTATTGTCCGATGATGAAAAATGTTAGGACCAATGAGGATGACGCTCTTCAACCTACAAGGACTCAACATGGGCAACGCAGCACATACATATAAGTGTTTGAACGTGTGGTTGAAATCTTGCATAACACCACATTTCTTAATCATATACGCTCGAACACACGCTATCATATACTACATCATACTACACGGCATAATATCTTACACCCTTCACACTGTGGTATTCGTATCTTTTCCAAACACCACTCATCGAATTTTCAACTTGTACACTCTTCACCGTACGCGGTATTCTTTGTGTGCTTGGCGTTCATATGGCCGTGTTCTACTTTCCACTCAAATCACTTACTGAAGAAGACGTCAGGCGATACATGAATCCCCCCGAGATTGGCGGTTTCCAACCAGATGTCGTGTGGGGAGATTTCAACTTCAACCGGAAGTATGGCCACGCATCTACAAATCACGGACTACATATGAAAACAATTGAGACTACTCTGCGTAAGACGTGGCACTTGGACTACCTCTATGCTGGCAGATCAACTGGTACTGAACATGCGTATCATCGACCTACCACCCCCGCCTCCCTCCAAACTTATAAGCTGACGGACTACGGTATCTGTGGTGACCACACCTAGGACTCGATCTCCAGATACTTCCCACGAATAAAATTCATCGGCCCCAACAAATGCCAGCAATACCGCCGCCTCCGGACCAACGCCTCCCTTCCCATGGATATAACCGATATCGCCATCGACTGTATCACCTACGCAACAAACAAATCCCACACGCGACTATTCCAAGCCGAAATCCGGGCGCATCAGAACCTCCTACGGTCGTATCTCACTTTACATAGCCCAGTGGAAGGGCTGCTACGAATCTTCGATCGCATCTGGCGCTATGCCACTAACCCACAAATCTTTGGAGGGTTCTATTATGACTTAAACAGACCTTGGGTTTAGCGGCTGCCAAACCACTCGTTCCGGCCACGTCTGACCGCCCAAAGCAATGCTTAAATGTTCAAAGATATTGCGTACCAACGACGGTCTCCGCGCCAATACTGCTTACCGGGTACCGATGACACAGGCGCTACCCTCGCTGGCTACTTTGAGGCCCTATTCAACTCTACAAAACCGTAGGTGGTTCCGCCTAAGGGACCTGGCCCCGACGGGATTCACATCCTCCTCCTGAAGGCCGCAGTGGAGCGCTCTACCAAACGCCGGACATTAGGACGCCCCGACGCTAATAGCCCACTGATTAGACTTCTTGCCGAAGCATTCACTGAGCTACTGAAGGCGGGTACCTTCCCCGCAGCCCTGAACTGCAGCCTCCTGACAGCGCACCCAAAGAAAGCCGATGCAGATATCACCTCCCCCACCGACTTCCGCCCCATCACGCTTACGCAAATAGTTAGACGCATCTTTGAAAAGTGCTTTCTTAATCTGATTACGAGCCACCCCGGCACTGCTACTCATGCTACCCAAGCTGGCTTCAAATCACGGTACTCCTGTCATACCCAAGCACTTGCCGCCATGGAATTTGAGACACAGTCAGAAGAGGAGTGGAACGACGTCTGTCTGGACATAACCAAGGCATACGACAAGGTCGTTCTCCCAAGCCTATGGGTACTTCTGCGTCACGCTGGAATGCCCGAAAACTGTATCAACTGCCTCCGCGCGCTGTTTGGGAGGGTCCCTACCCGAGTGATATACCGTGGCACGCGCTCGTCTCTATTCCATAGAACGAATGGCATCCTACAAGGCTCAATCGTCGGCCCCCAGCTCTTTATTATCTACATGGATTCCTTAGCTGTCACGTTAGCACAATTTCGGCCCAAGCTCCTCCGCTCTTATTTAAACCCCGAGTACGATCTACCGACTTGCGACACGCGGCGCCAACCCTCCGTATAAATGGCGAGCTTATCACGCCGACGCTTGCAGACGCACCTTGGAACACACGTTACCTCCCCCTGAAACTGGCGCCCACACATGCCGAACCGAAACACTCCAAATACCTGGGGTTCCCACTCTCTCACGGAGTACCAGGAATCAACCTCGCTAGACATATGGAATCCCTGGTTGCAGCATTGTCACTGGGTATCGCCTCTTTCCGCGCTTATGGCTTCCATGGCTTCAGCCGGCGACACCCCCGCAACCGACTGGTGATGTTCAAAACATTCATCCTATCCACGGCTACATATGGGCTGAACATTATTGCCTGGGCTCCGCCTATATGGAAGGATGCGCTGGACCCCCTATTCGAGCGCTTTAACTCAGCACTCATTCAAGCAACAGCCATCATCACGGGCACTAAATACCCTCGGTTTCCCAAACATCAAACAAACTTACTTCACTTTTGCGGCCTGCTCCCCGCGCGACCATTCGCAGACTACCTCGGAGGTTGCCTGGGAATACAACTCGACTCAATGACCAGCACAAATCCACTTACCCCTCTGACGCAACCCGCCTGGGCCCACGACAAACCATCACTGCGCTTCCCGTACAGTATCTATGCTCACCTGAAAACTGTACACACAACTACGGGCGGGCGTACACCCGACCATGTAGCCCTCCGTCAACGCTGTGACGACATCAGGAAGAACTCAACAAAACGTTGGTCCAACAAGGAGATCGCGGCAATGGCCCGGCGCCAATACTACTACCAACTGGTTATGGGTAAACCGCCAATCTCAAACCGAGACACAGCCAGACACGACAGCTTCAATCGCTGCTTCGAGTCTACACCAATCCGGCTCTGTGCTATGATTGTAACGAATACGTACATGTTCACATTGCTCGACTACTGCACCGAGACGGCTGTCTCTGCCCTGTCTGCCCCGGTAGCCACAAGTTCACTACCAGCCACTTTACCTGCATCCAACAACTGATTCGACGCATCCTGGTAGGTCCCAAACTGCCGCCCATTGGCCCTGACCTCCTTCAGCAATTACAGGATTGCCACGACTTCCACAGTATCTGAACCTTCCACGAACACCTTGGATCTTTTCTCCAGCATGTTGAAGAACCAGCGTACCCTCACCCGTCCCTGACACATCAACAGATGTTCCCCATACCCCGGCTAATCACGCTGTTGAAGTACTACTTACAAATATCGGTTCAAACCAAATCATCGCGCTTGTTGGTTCCGCCTATGATACTTCCGATCCAGGCCAGCCGACACATACCGAATTCATCCGTGGTCTGGTGCGTCATTGGCTTACCCCCATCCTCGCTCCTCGACCGGATTATGACGGATAACCTGGTCCTTCTCGGTATTTCATACTCTGCACTAACCCATTCCGCGGCACTACACGGCGCAGACCCGATCCGTACCACAGAGGTGGGTACTCTACTTGGTAGGTCAGCAAGCGAATATATGGAACATTCGATAGTAACAGTGTTTTGTCAACACCGGCCCGAATTGACTCAGCGCATATCTTCCATTGTCGACTCATTTGGCCAAAGCTTCAAACGGGAATTTAATGACCACTTCTTCCCATCAATCTTTCCTGAACGACTACAGCGACTATGAGAGCCATACCATATGTTCATACATTGTAACATACATACTTGTCATTTTTGAAATAAATAATAATATCTCTAAGGAGAAATGCGAACTTCATTTTTGAGAGTGTATCAAACTTTGAATCTTGTTCAAACTTTTGTTTTTTAAATTTTAAATATATTAATGTCGGCTTTATCTTTAGGCCTTGAAAAGAGCAGGGGCGTATAAAATGTTCAAAATTGAAGTTTTATATTTTTTATTACTAAAAAGACTATCCTCTAATTATTTTTGCACGCAATATGTCCGTTCGTAAACGCCAGTATCCAACACGTACTCCAAAACCACCGACAGGGTTGATATGTATCATCACTATACGAGTTCGCACAAACAAGTATTATCTACCCGACTGCGTACGCAAAGAAATTTGACACCATTAACATACCCTACAATAGTTTGTCTTCTATTCTGTTTATCGAATGGTCCTGTTGGCTGCATTAGGAAGTCCCAATCGCAAATGCACCAATTTGGAATTCGACATATGACCACGTACAGACTTCGATTAATTCGGAAAGCGCACCTATGTAAAAAGCCGCTAGAAAAAGTCTAGAGTCCTGCATTTTTATTTTTGAAGCTTTAATTATGTACAGGGCGCCATATTGTAAACAGACTGTTCTCTCAGCAACCACTAGCCTTGTACTGTTCGGCGGCCGAGCTCAGATTATGTTCGATGTGCCCTTTCACAGCCCCACCCACATTCTTAACATCCAAAAGAAAAGTATCGTGCCCATATATGGCATCCAATTCGTAGTACGTTACCTTTTTGTTACCTCCCTCACGCAACAATTGGGCAATCTGCTTCTGCTGGAACACGGGGAAAAGTATATCACTCTGTACCCCCAGAACAAGTGTAGGAACCTTGATCCGTTGCAAACCTTCACTCAGTGAACCAAAACCTCTACCCAAATCAAACATATCCATAGCCTTGCTAATGTACAAGATGGAATTGGGGTCGTATCTGGTGGCGAATGATTCGCTCTGATGGCTCAGATAAGCCTCGATCATGAAATCGGGACCAAAACCGGAACCGTGCGGTTCTCCCATGTGTTTGTCCTCATCTATGCGGTTGTTCTTGAATCTTTTCAACCATTCTGGCCCGCTTCGGTAGCTGATGGTGCCCATAATTCTAGCCGTCTTCATACCTACACTTGGGTAACTCTCAGTGTCGTAGAAGTGTCCGTGTTGCCAATTTGGGTCCGTCACTATACACCGTCTCTGCAATACAGGAAAAAGAATATGAAACTTTTTCAAGATATCCATAAAGTGTGTAGTAATGTTAAACTCGGCCATCGGACGGTAGATGTATAGTCGATTTTTCGACCAGGACTATTATTTATTTTTCAGTGCATCAAAAGAATCAGTACCGCATCTATACCTGGCCACGCACATAATATATACATCCTATTGTTTAAGAATGCGAGTATATCGAACGGCCGTGAACAACAGTAATTTTTTCTGCGTAGCGGTCCGCACCCAGTGAGTGCCCTTAAGTACTAAGGCTTTCGCTCATCTATCACACTCGTATACACATCAGGCCGCTATAGAGTTGCAAAATATTAAATGCGTCCCCCTACAAATCCGGTTGTCATGCATAAAGAAGATAGCTCAATTCAAACGTGCATACATGATGACATACACTAAGAAGTACACACCTGTGCATAACGTATGGCAATTGATGTAGGATGGGATTGGGCACACGCACTGATGCTTACAACGCGTC